GAAGAAGAAGAAGAAGAAGAAGAAGAAGAAGAAGAAGAAGAAGAAGATAATATCCATGCATTTGCTATCAGCTTGATGGCAGTCAACAAAAGAAATTGCTTTGCATTAATTGTTCTTACAGCTTTAGATTTGTTCATTTAGCTTCAATTCAAATACTTATCCAAAGGCAAAGCATCTAATTCAAGGTTAATTTGCATGATTCAACATATGCTACTTCATTCCTACTCAGATAATAGATTCTAGCTATGTAGCATGATAAATATTATAATTGTAAGATATTTTTCTCCCATTCAATCACGTTCTTGGAGACTGCCTGGACATGTGACTGTAGTTTTCTTGACAAAGTTTTTCAGAAGTGGTTTGCCATTGACTCCTTCCTTGGGCTGAGAGAAAGTGACTGGTCCAAGGTCACAGAACTGGGTTTGTGCTCAAAGTGTCATTAGAACTCAAGATATCCCAGTTTCTAGCCTGACCCCTGAATTACTACACCCAACTAGCTCTCTCATAATCCTAATATTTTCATAGAAATGAACTTCATACATGTAAAACTCTGAGTGACATTTTCACATTCTTTTTTTTCTCTTTCATTTCTTTCTGTAATGAGTTAAAGAGATTAAGTTTTTATAGCTATCTGCTATAATCCAAGAAATTCATTCTACCTCCTCAAGATGTAATTATTTTTATTGCTATATTTTTATGTACTTTGCAAAATGGGCTTTTAATTTTAGTTCTCTGCCGTAATTGGAAGGCTTCTCATCACAGAAATCCAAGCTTAAGCACAATTGTCATGAATTAAATTATCTCTTCTCCACCTCCTCTCTCTCATTCGCCGGGAATGTTTTAATAAATTTGTAAAGGAAATTCAGTATATTGTTGTGGCTTTCTGGCTTGAATGTACATAGATTTTAAAGGGTACATAATTGCATATAAAATTCCAGAGACCAGTCTCGCACTTAATATGATGCTTATTTCCCCTGCTAAAAGTGTTGCACATTTTTCCATCAGCAAAAAAATGTATCAAAATCTTCTCTTTTTTTAGCTTCCAATAAATTACAGAATGATAAAGTATGGCCTCTGGACTGTAATCTTGTATTCATAAATTAGTTGTGTATTTTTTGACTCTGTTGAGTTCTCTTGGGCTTTCTGGAAGGCTATAAAGACCTGTCTCTTCTCTCTTAGTCACCGATCTGAGATCTGTTCAGCCTGTGTAAGTACACACACAAACACACATGCACTCATACACACACCCATATGCATACATACTTTGGATGCTGGGAACATGAATGGGTATGAAGTAAAGTTATTGTCAAATGAAGGAAATCAGGAGTCAGGTAGTTCAAATGTTTACAGATTTATTTCATACTAGCTTTACAAGAATCTGAACTTCATGTTATTGTTAGTCACAAAGTAATGTCTGACCCATTGTGACCCCATGGACAATGTTCCTCCAGGCCTTCCTGTCTTCTACCATCCCCTGGAGTCCATTTAGTGATTCCATCCAGCCACCTCATTCATCTACTAAAACTCTACTGACAGTCAAATTAAAAAAAACAAAAAAACGTACTACCGACAGTCAAATCAAATAAGCAGTAGATAAGACTCAATGGAATTCAAGGGGGGCAGGACTTAGATCTCTTGTAGACTTGAAGAGACTTGAGGCTGATGACACATTTGACCCCTCCCTCAGGGTCAGCCTTGGGAATGGCCTTGGGAGAAAGGATGGAGAAAAGCAGTCAAGAGGATAGTTAGATAAAAGGAAACTTAGCCCAAACAAGAGTATAGGTGGAGTAAGCAGCTCAGAAGGGACCTTCTCTAGGTTCTGGAATGTGGGGGGAGGGAAAAACTCTTAGACTTGCTAAAGTCTCTTAATGTAACTTTACAGCAAAGTAAAATTAGGTCACATGGCCATGTTTCCTGTCTGGTCTGCCTCACAAGGCAGATAAAGATACATTGGGTCATTTTTGGTGCCATTATCACTCTCATGTCCTGAAAAACAAACTTGGATATCTAACCACATTTGAACAGAAATGAGGCTGTCCAAAAATATAATAATAATCTCTGCTAGTTCAAAGAAGTTCTTAATTATATACTGGAACTTGTCAGGCACAAAAGATCAGGTCTGCATGTGAAAGTCCAATTAAAGTGATTTATTGCTAAAAGCCTATGAACAGGAATCTTCTCAACTAACAGTTAGCATCTGTTTGGAGTTACATGGAATTCAAGGGGGAGTGGATTTAGCTTGCTTGTGGCTGCATAGGGATTCTAGGCTGATTCCTCATTTTACTACAGTAAAATCAAACAATCTTTTACCAAATACAAAATGGCCTTATGGATATTTTTGAGTTTCCAGAATATATGGAACCCAGGAATAGTTGTACCTTGGAATATTAGGAGATTAACAAGGAAGAGAAAAAAGAGAATCAAAGGGAGACTTTGGTTTCTTCAGGCACCAGCTTTCATAGTCAAGTCCAGTTGCCTCTTGAAAAAAAAGCACCTTTGGAATAACCATGACCTGGATGACTGAGAAACTCCGTAGACATAACTCAGCCAAGTTCTTCTAGCGGAGACCTGGTTTTCATCCTTTATGCTTCCTTTCACTGCAGTTTGTTCTTATACAATTGCAAAGCTAACAAACTGTAGTAGTGCTGTTGTGTAGGAGCTCCAAAAGAAATAATCTGCTTATTAGAGTTATGTTTGATGTACTTTTCCCATTCCAATATAGTTAGTATGAACTTTACTTTGCTGAAGTCTGTTTTTTTTCTACCCTGTGCATGAATATATCAAAATAGAACCTAAATAGAACCAAAAGGTTATATTTAATTCTAAATAGAACCAAAAGGTTATATTTAGAGGCAATGTGAACACATTTGCTCTGAAGAGTTTTTTTTTTTTACTACTTTAAATCATACAAAATTAATGGTACATAGGATGACTTGTTTTACTTAAGTGCTTTTCTCCCCAGGCAGGCATACATCTGAAATTGATCTAAAATTATTTGGGCACAGGGCAACATCTGGTTGCTGCTGAGGAAAAGGAGCACCATTGAAGGCACGGGCCGAAAGATGTAGATAAAAAGATAGCAAAATAGGTACGGTAGTAATCTCTCTTTGAGAAATCAATTGAGTATATTTTCACTTACTCCTCAGTGATAGCCATCAGTGGTTCCAGTGTGAGGCATTGTCCAATGTCAGCCAGTAAGTAGTTTTTTTTTTTTTCAAACCTCAGGCAGTTTTGCAGGCATTAGGTTTCATTCATCCTTCTGCACAAGGTTGCCTTTGTTAGACCAGCTAAAAGTTACATGTATCGCTTCACAATATGCTAATGGTTCTGCTACATTACTATTCCATTATCAGGCTATCCTTGCACATTAATATAGGGGCTAGATTTCCCTGCCACAGCTGGAAAAATTTGCTAACTTAGCTTTTCGGGTAATGGGGTGGGATGGAGTAAAGGAGATAGCAAAATATAGAACAGCCCTTGCAGAGATTTTCTGCAATACTGGCCTCTAAGCTGAAAGTAGGAAGAGTTGGCCCCTTGGGCAAGCTCTGTATTTTGCTAGAAGTGCCAAAAGCAATATAGAAAATAAGCATCACACATTTTATTATTTTATTTTTTAAAAAAACCAACATGGAATTTGTCCTTTTCATTTTCTAGTTCACAAGCCAAAAGGCATAGAATATAGAATAAATTGGAAGGGACCTTGGAGGACTTCTAGTCCAACCCCTTGCTTGAGAGGAGATCCTGTTCCATTTCAGACAAATTGCTGTCCAGTCTCTTTTTAAAAAGCCTCCCATGAGAGAGCATCCACAACTTCTGAAGGCAAGGTGTTCCATTGCTTGATTGGTCTTACTATTACCAATAGGAAATTTCTTCTTTGTCCTAAGTTGCTTCTCTCCTTGGTTAGTTTCCATCCATTGTTTCTTGTCTTGTCTTTCGGTGCTTTGACCCCCTCAGTTCTGTAGGAGCCATCTTGGAACACTGCTATCATGTCTCCTCCTTTTCATTAGTCTGGACATACTCAATTCCTGTTACTGTTCTTTGTATGTTTTAGCCTCCAGTCCCCTAATCATTCTTATCCCTTTACTCTGAATTCTTTCTAGAGTCTCAACATCTTTTTTATATTGTGGTAACCAGAACTGGATGCAGTATTCCAAGTGAGGTCTTACTAAGTTTTTTTAAAGCACTATTAGAAGTTCACATGATCTTAATTCTATCCCTCTATTAATGCACTCTAGGATTCCATTAGATTTTTATTTTATTTTTTTGGCTGCTGCTGCACACTGTTGGCTCATATTTAAGTGATTGTACACTAGGACTCCAGCAACCCTATCACAGTTACCGGCATTAAGCCAAGTTTCACCTAGCCTGTGCCTATACAGTTGTTTTTTCCTTCCCTAAGTGTAAATCCTTTCCCTTAGGCAAGAAAAACCAACTATATAATTATAACCTTGACAAGGATCTATTTCCCAGGAGTTTTAAGCATTATTTGACAAATTATACTAGAATATATAATATATCAATATTAAGTCCTCTAATATTTATTTTAAAAATACCAACCTCCCAGCAGTTTATTATTTGCCAGCATGAATCCTGCTCTGCCAGGAAGTTTTGGCAAAAAGGGAATAAAGTCAAGAGTACGTTTAGAAATTCTAAAAAATAATCCTGGGACTGATTAAACTTTATTAATATTTGGCCTTATTGGTGTTTCTAGAGAATTGGGTTATTAGAATTATGGTGGAATATTGAGTAAGTTTTAAAATATTAGTCACTCAGCAGAGGACAACAAATACATTGTATAAAGAAATGTTACTTATGTTTCAATGTTTCTATGAAGAAAGTGATAAAGAATCATAAAGAGAGAATGGTATTATTTAAAGACGAAGATGTGAATGTGGAAGAACTTCAAAAAAAGCTGGGGAAGATGAGTACAAATTGGGAAAATGGTATTATACACACCGACATATAAAAGAATCTATCATAAGTACAATGTGCATGCTAAGATTAGAAGTTGGAAGACTACGATTATGTGTATTTAATTGTGTTATATTGTTAGCATTGTGTAAAAAGTATATTGACCAGTTATGGGATTCAAAAATTTTTACTACTGGTTCTGTGGGCATGGCTTGGTGGGCGTGGCAGGGGAAGGATATCACCAGTCAGAAGTGGTATTTGCCGGTTCTCCGAACTACTCAAAATTTCTGCTACCGGTTCTTCAGAACTGGTCAGAACCTGCTGAATACCACCTCTGATATTGACCCAGTCAATACACTGTCCACAAAATATATATGGCTGTTAAAGGAAGATTACAAATAAAAGGAAAATTATATATAAAAGAAGTTCTGAAAAATAGGGATAAAGTCAAACACATCGCTAGAGATGGTAGAAAGAATGCAGAACATATGTGAGTCACATCAGGCCTCCCTCTCTGCCTATATACAGACACACACACACATGCACTTCCTGTCTTGTAAAAACAGACAAACAGATAAATAAATGACTGTACTTGCCCTGTTGGTAATAGAAGCTTTGCAGTTTTGCAGACAAAGGGGCAACATACAAAGTCACCGGATCCACCTTTCAGACTTGGTGAGAACCAGAGAAGAAACTAGGCTACAAAACACCTGAATCTGCTGGCAGGAGGCACATTTCCTGTCAAATTTTGGTTGGACAACAAACACAAAGGCTGCCCTGTAATTAAATCCCACCCTGATCTACATTTTGCAGTCATGTAATTAATACTTCCTCTCTCTGCAAAGCAACAGAATAATTTAAAAAGCAGATCTTCCCCCACCCTCCCACCTCCCCTGCCTCCACCTTTCAAAATCATTCTCATTCTCCTTTTTCTTTTCACGTCTGTAAGAGGGAACTTGGCGTACACCTTTTAGCTACACGGAAGTGATTTGCCCGTTCCATCTGCTAATAGAAAGCTACAATTAGATACTCAGGGCCTTCTTTGTGCTAAGAGATTAAAACAATACTTCCTTCCTGTTTAAAAGCTGTGAATGGAAAAAGAACTGGGGTGGGTAGAACACTATTTATCCAGGGAGGATTTATGGAAGCTGTAAAGCACAGGCTGAAAAAGGTTAACTGAATAGCATGAATATTATATAGTCCCACAATTTGGAGGCAAAATATTGAGCAGGGCATACCATTCCCTGTGATAGCTTTTGTATTGATTTGTCTGCTTACCAGATGTCTTTAATGAAATCAATGTGGCTACAAATTTCTATGTAACAGGTTTCTCTGGCCTCCCATTCAGATTTCCCATAAACAGAAACAACTTGCTTTTCTCTACCTCATGTTCATTCAGTTATTTTTTTTTAAGTAATCAATTTAGGTCCATCCATGTTAGTCTCCAGACATCCCAAACCAAGACAGCTGAAAAATCACCTCTTCTGGACCAGTGCTGTAGCTAGGTATAGTTTGGCAGCACCTCAGATTCAGGAGGAGAGTTAAGATTCATATAACGTAGAATAACAGAGTTGGAAGGAACCTTGGAGGTCTTCTAGTCCAATCCCCTGCTCAAGCAGGAGACCCTCTATCGTTTGGCTGTCTGGTCTCTTCTTGAAAGCTTCCAGTGAGCCTCCACAACTTTTGAAGACAAGCCATTCCACTGGTTGATTGTTCACCCTGTCAGGAAATTTCTCCTTAGTTCTAGGTTGCCTCTCTCCTTGATTAGTCTCCATCCATTGCTTCTTGTCTTGCCCTGTCTTGCATCAGCTTTGGAAAATAGTTTGACCACCATGGCAGCACCTCAAATATTGGAACACTGTTATCATGTCTCCCCTAGTTCTTCTCTTGACTAGACTAGACATACTCAATGCCTGCAACCGTTCTTCATATGTTTTAGCCTCCAACCCACTAATCATCCTTGCTGTTCTTCTCTTGCACTTTTTCCAGAGTTTCAACATCTTTTTTATATTGGGATGACCAAAACTGGATGCTGTATTCTAAATGTGGTCTTACTAAGGCTTTGTAAAGTGTACTAATATTGCATGTCATCTTGATTGTATCCCTCAATTAATGCAGCCTTATATATTCATTGTAACCCAACCAGATTGCTTTTCAAAAGACAATGCCAACACATGGGAATCAAGGAATATGAAGCCCATTGACTTGACCAGATGACTACATTCTTCTTCTGCTCCAGGACTGCTTGTCTGAAATTAGTCTATAAACTGAAATAAATTATGAAATTATACAGGAAAAAGGATTTAAGGTGGAAGGCTAATTTGGCCACATTTGGACACCTTTAGCCAGGGGTGTGATTCAACCAGTGTAACAACTGGTTCGGTGAGCGTGCGCTTTGCACGCATGCAGAGCATTTGTTACTGACCTTCTCCAGTTGTCTCTGTATGTTAAAGAGCCGACGCACGGCAATCTGCTGTGCTCCGTGAATCAGCTGAGCTTGAAAACCAGGATGTAAAGCACAGACTACAGCCAGAGTGGGTGGGTAGGCCCAACAGCTGATAGTCAGAGCAAACGGTTTGCCAACAGCTGATCCTCGGAGCTACTGGTTCACCTGAACTGGGCCAAACTGATAGAATCCCATCCCTGCCTTTAGCATGAAAACTGGCTCATACACTATACCTTGTGGAACTATGAATAAAATTTGGAGTTCTTGGGGAATCAGAAGAGGTTCTGGATATCTACTTGGTCCTTGAATAATTCGTATGAATAACCACAATGTGCTTCATAGCCAGCCCTTGTTAATTCATGATGGTGTTCTCAAAGATTTATCTTTGTCCTTCAACCTAGGGACAACCAATTCCCAGTTCCATACAGCTGCGGACTTCTCAACACAGCACATCTTACATCTGCATTATATATATATATATTACTGTGAATTGTTAAATAAAGGACAAAGACCACTCCCTTTTCTGACACTTACAACAGCTAGAGCATCCAGGAATAAATTAAACATGGAATATGAAAGCACCAGATGTCCCAATTTTAATGAGTTTTTCTACCCAGAAATATATAAATTCCTCTGTCCTTTTGGCAGGAATAATTGGCTAGAGAATTGTGCATTCAGCATCTTCCTGGATACATCGAGTCAAAGTGACCTTCACTTAGCTTCTTGACTGCACTGGGAGAATCTCATGAGATATCTGGTATAAGGGAAAAAGGAAATAGCTGAAGTTAGAAAACTAGGCTGGGAATAGAATTGGCATGTGATTAAAGACAAATGGGAAAATGACCTGAGCAGTAACAAAATGTGTGATTAACAGCTGTGCCCTCAAGTCAGGGTGATTTTTGTGATCAGGCCTTGTGGACTTTTTGCAAAAAGGGAGTGGCTGCTAGCAACAGTTTGAGCAATTAATAAATATCCTTGTTTTTCCATTTATTACATCTTGTGTTTTGTCCAGCCTTATATTGGACAATAATGCAAAACTATTTCAAAAGCTACTTTTTTTTTTTAACTGGCCTAGTTCGATGATGGGATATGTGTGCATTTTTTCCCCTATGATTTCAATTAGATTAATTGCTTTCAGGAAATGGCATGATAATTATCTACAAGTACCTTTATATAAAGTTTCCTCAATGTCATTCTGAAAATCAACAAAGGTTTTCCTGTAACAGATTACAATACAGCTCCAAAATTCATCTCATTTTTCTTACCACTGCAAGGTTATTGGCAGAGTTTTTGGATGGATGGATGGATGGATGGATGGATGGATGGATGGATGGATGCAAATACAGAGAGATATAGATATGCATAATGGAATACTGTGGGGTGACAGAAGGAGAAGAAAAGGTTGGTTTTAGAAGAACATATCTCAAAATAGCATTTGGTGTGTTCCACCTTTGCTTAATGTACTTTGCATGCAAAATAATAATAAAATATATCCTCCATTTTTCCCATACCAAATGAAGATCATTTTGAAAATCCTAAACCAGACATTGTGTCCAATTAGTGCACTCCCAGAAAAACCTGGTCTGGGTTAGCAACAATCAGTTGGTCAGATTCCAAACAGCTATATAATTATTGTGTTTAATTATACATTGAATTTTTTCTGTTTTATGCAGAAAATCCATAAACGGAGCAGGTTATTCCAGGAAGCAAAAACTCAGATGCTGGTTTTTTTCGCCCTTATCAAATGAGTCCATTTTGCTATCTCAACAAGTTCCATTATCCTCATTCCTCCATTGTGGGCAGGGCCAAATCTCTCCATCTTTGTGCATAAAAATAACCTTGTTTCAAAATGATGCCGTAAAAGGTTAATTTATTGAGAAGTGCTTATCTGCTCTGGAAATTTCTTTACTTCTTCTTTTCTCTTTATCTTATTCCAAAGGATGTGTGATTTCTCTTGATTCTTCTTTTTAAATTCAATATTATGTTGTATAAAATAACCTCTAATAAAAGCTTTCCTTGCTTCCAAAATCTATTTAAAAAACAGTATTTAAACAGAGCACCTGATCAGGTTTTTTTTTTTTTAAATCATCCTTCCACTGGGCAATTCTGAAAGCTCCTTCTTGTTTCAGTTCCTTTGGTTAGCTGCCAAATTTGTTATCGCAAAGTTAGCATGCATATTTCATTAGGTCAATGGTACTGAAGACTTTCAAAAACTGTTCTGACTAAAAAAAATAACAGAAGCTTTCATCAATTACATGCTTTAGAAAAAGAAGCAAGAAAACAACAACAACATTCAGTATGAAAGAATCTTGTGTCATTCCCCACACCAATTTCTTCACATCTTTTAACCAAAAGAATTGCCAGATCAGATTCTCTTACTTGAGATTAAACTAAAAATGTTAAAAGTAGGTTTATTTGCCCTGAAAAAGTTTCAATATACTTTTAAACCCTGTGTCAATGTGTTGAAGTCATACGCAACTAATGATTTGTTCTAATACAGTACTAATAAATTATTATTTGGGGGACATGACCCCATTTTGAATTTTAAAAAGTGCCTTTATTAAGGCATTTTCTTTTTCTTTCTTTTTTCTTTTTTTGACAAAATAATATAGTTGGATATAAGATATCATAGTCACCAATAAAGGATATTTTATTTATATATTGTAAAAGAAAATATTTGTAGCTCAGTGTTGAAATTAAGAGCCTTTGGTGCTGTGCAAACTTGGTTGTTTTCTTGCAAATAATAATCTGCATCCAATGTGCATCCAATCCAATAATCATAATCCAGACTAGGTAACATCATCATTGCTAGTCATTAGTACTGAGGATGTTATGTGGTTTGCAACAGTGGTGAGATTCAAAAAAATTTACTACTGGTTCTCTGGGCGTGGCTTGGTGGGTGTGGCAGGGGAAGGATACTGTAAAATCTCCAGTCAGAAGTGGTATTTGCTGCTACTCAAAATTTCTGCTACCGGTTCTCCAGAAGTGCTGAATACCACCTCTGGTTTGCATAGTTTGCATAATGAAATGTCTGCAAGAAAACAACCAAGTTCAGCAAGCATCAAGGACCCCTCATACCAGAATCAATAATGAGATTATGGTAAATATGATGTTTCATTTTTTAAAAGCCATATATTGTTCCATTGCACTTAATGGAACTTAATATGGCGGTTATATAAATAGAGCAATTTGATATAATAGCAACAGGTAATCACAACAGTACTTGAACAGTGAACAGATAACTACTTTCCAAAAAAGAGAAGGGAAGGGGAGGGAAGAGGAGATTATTTTGGCATTGTTATCTTCAGTAGCTTTAAAGAGATACTGTAAAGTCTTCTCAAATCATACTCTGCGACTTGATAAAGAACCCGATAAAGAGTCTGAGAACATATATAACAGTTTACAAAACAATTCTAATTTGGACAATCTGTACATTCCTTAGTCCTCAGAAAAATGATGAGTCACCTTCCCTACCCTTCAAATAGTTATTAGCAAAAGGATTAAGTAGTCCTTGCCACATCATAGAAACCATATTGGGTGCCAAAATGAAAATATCTACTTGTTGGGGTTTCTGTGTCCTAATCCATTTTCCCTTTTGTCAGAATGCTCACTGTATGACTCTGTGAGACAACCCGGGAGCAATAACATCAAATGGAGGTTTGTAATAATAAATAGTGGTTTATCTCTAGTACTAGGCAAAGGTCAAACCACCAATCAGCAGCTACAGCAGAGAAGAACACATGGAGAGAGAGATACATCCCAATAGGCCTCTCTTATAATACAGACTCTTAAAGTGGTAACAGTCAAATAACCCTGCTGACTCATTCCTACCATTGCATCATCATTACAGCATCACAGTATTACAGCAACTGGTCAGCTATTAAGTCATCATGCCCTGACACCTTTCAATAAACACAATAAAGATTTTGGAAGAATCTTGTATTCAGTTGGCAAGAGTCTCTAAAATCTTGACATCTCCATGGATATGAACATGCAGTTCTCGAAGCAGCTGCATTGAAATGGTTTCTTATTGTCTTCTGCAATATTTTTTTTGAATGTTCCATCTTGTCTACATTACCAATGTTCCTCGGCTAGTCTAAAGAAAAGAAGAATTAGGGGCGACACGATAGCAGTATTCCAGTATTTGAGAGGCTGCCACAAAGAAGAGGGGGTCAAATTTTTCTCCAAAGCACCAGAGAGCAGGACAAGAAACAATGGCTGAAAACTAATCAAAGAAAGAAGCAACCTGGAATTAAGGAGAGCCCTCCTAACAGTGAGGACAATTAACCAGTGGAACAACTTGCCTCTAGAAATCATGGGTGCTCCATCACTGGAGGTTTTAATGAAGAGACCAGAGACTCATTTGTCTGAAATGGTACAGGTTCACCTCAGGGGTGGGATTCAAATTTCTTAACAACCGGTTCTATGGGCATGGCCTAATTTGTGGGTGTGGCTTGGTGGACACGTGATTGGGTGGACATGGCTTGTATGTAAATATTGTAAATTTATATTTATGTAGAATCCCACCCTTGGTTCTCCTGCTTGAGCAGGGGGCTGTACTAAAAAACCTCTAAGATCTCTTCCAGCTCTATTCCTATCCCTATCCCTATCCTAAAATGTATCATTTTAATCTTATTGTAGTAAATAATAATTTTGGCTTACATTTGCTTCATGTATAGCTGTACTTTTTTTGCACTAAAGAAACCATGTTTCTTGTGGCAGTTCAATAGAAGAGTAGGACTTCGGGGGCAAGAATGACAAACTAAGTAAACTTGGATGGAGCACTTACAGTGCGAGGGTCTGCAGAACAAGGCATGATCTACAGAATGCCAGCCCTGGAATCTTCAGCAGTGACCTGTATGGGGTGCCAGGATCTCTATTCAGTTACAGTGCTGAAAACCCACTGTGGCATTGAAGAAAAGAGCCTTTCTGTCAATTGTTTGAGAAATAGTTTTAAATATGTTTCAAAGCTTTTTGAAAATAAAAATGCTGCTGTCCACACAGCTAGATTTGTGGCAGGTTTGTCTACAGAGATTTTATGGTTTTTAATTCTTTCCACAGTATTGCAAATGAAGAGTTGAAAAATAATATTCTGTGTGCTGACACTTCATACAGGTAGCTAATAAAGTGACTTGTCCTCCAGTCCATTAGTTTTGATGATGAATCTATTACATTTTGTACAGGTGAGTAGCCAGGACTATTCGTTTGTGTCTTTTTCTTTTTCCATCTTAATAGCCAATGGGCTTCCATTTGCAAATAAAAGGAATATTCCAACATTTTGCTGCTGCAAACAAGAGCATGCCTTGTTTTCCTTCGACCAAGATAAGGCACAGTTGCAGCTCTTTAACTGGTCAAGCAAAGAGGGTTGGGGGTAGGAGAAAAACCAGAACCAAAGGCTTTAGAAAAGGAAGAACAACTCAGCAGTTCTTCACGTTTCAGAAATGGCCAAGAATTCCCAAAGCTGTTTCCACACTCAATCTAAACAGCTGCTATTGGAGCTCCTACGCAACTCATTTTCTTTCCAAACTATGTTACAGGGGGAACAAAGACAAAGTGCAAAGAGAGGACAGCCAAAATGTTGCATGGAGAGATGAGCGAGGCACCAAAGCACATAAGGTCAACACTGCTAAGCGTATAGATCTTTGCTCACCTCTCTGAAAGACTGGCTATTTTCCCCTCTCTGGAACTTTTAAATATCTACCTACATTTGCTATCATTTGTCTTCCATGAATAATGAAATCAGCCTATAAAGACACACTGTATTTAAAAGATCCTTGCATAACCTTTAAGGGCTCTGTTCTCAGAATTCTCATTTCACACAGTAATTCAAGGAAAAGTTCAAAAAGTTTCCAACGGGCACCAACCTGTTCTTGGAGTTATCAATTCAAGGAATTATCTGCAGCCACGGTAGTAGCAGTGTTTACCTCTACTTCAAACAAAGTTGTAAAATAGAAGCAAAAGGGATTTTGTAGTGTTTTAAAATGTGGCAGTTTTTATCTAGCAGTCTGATTCATCCAGACAGAATTTTGTACCTACTTGGGAAGCTTCATTACAAAGCTACTGTTTTTTTTATTGGCTATCTTTTAAATCTTCCTGATCAGAAATAGTCACAGAATTTTTAAGTACTTTGTTGGGGAATTGATTCCCCAAGCATCAACAACATCAATAGAGTTTTAAACCTTCTGATTGCAGGGGTTCTTTTCTTGCTTAACTTCTTATTTTGTATTTATAGACTTTGTTTTGTGAAGTCTGAGATTTTCCCCTTTGATTCCTTATCGACTTTTTGTCTAGGTTGTGTCTTTCATAAACATTATAGAGTTATTAGATCAGCCACTTCCACTCATCTACATACCCCCAAGGACTTCAAGTATCTTGAGTTTCATGTTAATAATTCCATATTCAGAAATCCTGTGATGCAGCTACTATGATATATTGTTTGGCTTCAGTGATGTCTTTCTATCACCAGAATTGGTCATTGACCAAAAAGGGGATTTGTTTGGTTAAGGAGAAGAAAAACACCTCTAATACTAAAGCTGCAGCTAGTTGGAATTCCGAGCAGAACAACAATTGTAAACTCTGGGGAATCTTTGGGCAATCTCTCAGTCCATCGTGCCTGGTTCCCTTTTATAAATATTTGCAGAACATTCATCTTGGCTCTTAATTTTGTTTACCAACATAATATGTTCAAAAGCTAAAGTTGATGTCAATGCTTATTTAGTGACCACCTAAATAACTACTTTCTCTTTCTCCTCCTCCTCCTCCTCCTCCTCCTCCTCCTCCTCCTCCTCCTCCTTCTCCTTCTCCTCCTCCTCCTTCTCCTCTTCTTCCTCTTCCTCTTCCTTTTCTTTCTCCTCCTCCACCTCCTCCTCCTCTCAGTGGCTATAGCTGAGTCCATCACCATTTTGTCCTCTTTCCTTCAACATTTTCCAACATTTTGGACTTTTCAAGGAACCTGCATCTTTGCTGAATACATCCTAAATTTACTATTTTGAACCTGGTCATTCATGACTGCAATGAAAAGTCTGTCCTATAATCCATTTGTTTGAATGTTAGGCATTTTTTCTATGTATGTTTAAACAATAAAATGAGGATTACTTAAATTTGATAAATGTGATAGAGATTACCAACATTGTTATTGTGAATTGGATTAATATGAATGATATCCAGAACCAACTCCGTTCGCATACAAAATGGATGAATATCTTAAAGACAATAAAAACTTACTATTTTGTAATCCATCTGTTTTTTACCCCTAGCTATCCATGATATACTCCTCTTTTCTCCAAAGTAAACCAGTTCAACAGTTTTAACACCCTTTCTATTCTGCTTTTTCAGGATCCAACTTTTTCATTCTCATAGTGAAACAGAAAAAAGCATAAGATTAGTTTGTATTAATGCCAATAACCAAGTATATAAAGAGTACCTACAGCAGAATATAAATAAATGAATCAGATTTAATCTTTCCCTAGACATCCAATTTTTCTCATTATAATTTATTTCAAGGTAACATAAAAATAGAGAAATGGTCTCCTCTGAGCATTTTCAGTTCCTTATTTTCCGTATTAAATCCTATTTGTTTTATTAATTTCATAAAATGGGTAAATGCTATACCACCTTTTTGGCATAAACTGATTTTTCAAACTTGCTTCCTCCCTTTTTCATTCTTAACCAAAGAAAGAAAGAAAGAAAGAAAGAAAGAAAGAAAGAAAGAAAGAAA